TGCCCAGGGAAGTCAAAGGCTCCTGTCGGATGTGTGGGGTTCGTTCCCAGCCCCACAGCAGCACATGCCCAATCTCCAGAGCTCGTCCCCTCCTCACAGGGGACTGTGTTGCAGCCATGCCCAGGGTGGGTATTGGTGCCATCATCCCGCAGCTGCCTCCGTCGTCCCGCAGAGCTGAGCCCCAGCACACCCACGAAATGGAAATCCAGCTGTGCCCAGTGAGACATCCCCCCTGTGGGAAAAAGCCACCTTGGGCCACTCAGACAGTGAGGGTTTTTTAATAAATACCTTTTTCTGCACAGAAATATACCAAGTTTTACAGAATACAAACTGCAGGGATAAAGACCGAGCGTCAAAGACAGAGGATGCAGAGAGTCCTTCTGTCTTCCTCCGGTCTTTTCCAGGCTCTGACCCCGACGCTCGCTGTCAGGTCTTCCCATAACCCCGATTTGCTAAGGCTGAAAGGCAGAATAAAGGCCTGGGAGGGGACAGACAAGATGCCAGCGGCTGCAAACCCCACGTGTCCTGCCCCAGGAACAGCCACGCTGGGCAAGCCTCAGCTCTGGGCTGAGGGCACCCGCTGCGAGAGCATCGCTGGGAGCGAGCGGGGTGGAGGCAGCCGATGGATGGACAATAGCCTTTCAGTGCTGGTGGAGACTGGTGCTGGGGTGAACACCGAAGGGTGGCAGTGCTGGGAGTTTCTGGGCCGCTCCTGGGGGGTTGGTGAGCACAACTCCCTTTTTAACCCATCGGACATGACTGGGAAAGGACAGCCCCACTGCTTGGACCCCAAAAGCAGCTGCCCAGGAAAAGGGGATCCTCTGAACCCACAGCGAAGCACCCGGCTCTGCCCTGCCCTGGCACCACCACCACCCGGTGGTCAGGCGCAGCAGGGTTTGGCCCTACTCCCGACCCACCGGCATTGTTGGGTCGTGGCATGATCAGTCACCTCCCACCTCTGCAGCCACCTCTGTTAGCAGGCTCTCCATGCCACGGCCATGGCCAACAAGCACTCTGCGAGGCCTGCAGGAGAGTGGGGTCTCACATTCCTCTTAACTTGCTCTGGTGGACAAAGAGCCCCAAAGAGAGGGGCCAGGCAGCATGAAGAGGTTTCCGGTCAGGAGAGGGGACGTTTGGCCCATCCACAGTCTCCCTGTGCCGACATTCCACCTCTGGGGCAGACATCAGACAGGCCACACTCCATGAAAGAGGAGCATCCCCACCACTTAAAGCCATGGGACCACCTTTGACTTGAGGCCAGAGATGACCTCATCAGCCAGCTCCACCACAGACAGACCTCCACCTGTCCGGCACCCCACAGGGGGAAAGCGGAGACCATCAGGAAAAGGACCTGCTACTCCAAAGTCACTTACCTCATGTACACACAAGCCTTTCCCCCTTTCCAACGGTATCTAGGAGATCAGGGAGCACCTCCCTGACTGGTCCTCCCTGATCTCCAGACAGCGAGTATCGCTACAGGCACCGCAGGATGGACCGGGTTCCCCACTCCCACCTGGCAGCAAATCCACACAGGAGAAGCACTTTCTCCCCAAACACAGAGCGTGGACACCGACCGTGGGGATGGACAGGAATTCGCCGCACCCCTCCTGCATCCCTGACTCCTCATCAGAGCCCCGAAGCAGCAAAACGGGGTCCGGTGAGGACACGGGGTAAGGCTGAGCAGCACCCCAGGGAGGCAGGAAGGCTGTTTTAGTCACGGGAAATGTTATGTCTATTCGAGGGGGAAGTGAGGAAATCAAATGCACCATGGGGAGACCCCCGCGTTGAGCCAGGAACAAGCTGCCGCTCTGCTCTGGCTGCTACAGCACTTACGTGAGCGGGGAGTGAGGGGCAGGAGAAGGCTGGCTGCCTCCAGCCCCGTCCCCGCAGCCCAGCCGCTCCCCCGCTTGGGGACAGCTATTTTTGGTTAGGAGGGTAAGGCTGTTGTGTGATGGCACCAGCTTGTACAGGTGAGCGGTGGGTGGGTGAGTGTGTGTGTGGGAAGAGGCAGGGGGGACGCAGATCCGCTATTTGCCCGCAGCAGGGGCAGCGGCCACGATCTCTTCATACTTGGGTGGTGGGTCATTGTAGGAGACACTGGTCTCTTCGCCACTGCTGCTCTCCGGGTGGCCTGTCACCTCCTCATAGGAAGGCGGAGGGGTGGCACTGGACAGTCTGGAGAGGACGGAGACCGAATGCTCTGGTGGGTAGAGGGTGCCGTCTTGCTGGGGGGCTCCCCCAGCTCTGCTGTCTCCAGCCACCCGGTTGCTTGCTTCTCGCTGATACTGGGTTTCCCCTTGGCTTTGCGACCGCTCCCGGTATACCATGACCCTGGGGAGGCTGCGTCCCGTTCGGCTGGCCAGGTAACGGTTCTGGGCATAGGAAGGGCGGTGGCGGGTGGCCTTTTGAAGTTGGCACCTCCAGATGATGAAGAGGGCGATGACTATCAGAAGAGCCACTCCCAAGAGGGGCACCACCACGTACATGGCATCTGAGCGCTCCGTGCTGTGCCCGGGGTCCTTGACGGAGTAGACAGAGTTGGTGTAGCCCTTCCAGAACTCCATCTGTGGGAGGAACAAAGAAGCAACCATCATGTGCTGCAGGCGGGACAAGGACCTCCTGACCACCACCAGCAATAATCATTGCCCTCCCTAGGCTCACAAAAGAGGCAGTTTTTTGGCCATTCCCCACCACTCTCACCAGGGCTGCCAGCATCTGAGCCGCTGTGGGACCCAACACAAAAGATTGTGGGAACTTCCCTCAACAGCAGCCAACAGCCCCCATTACCAAGCAGGGAGATATTTGGTTAACACCAACCCCAGCCTGGAGAATCTGGGACAACACCACAAATCACAGATTTCCCACACGTGCCCTGGGAGTGCCAGCTCGACCTGCAGCTGTGGCAGGGTGTCCTGGCAATGCCAAGGTGAGGGCATTGCCTGGGAAGGGAAAGTCACGCTGGAAAGCGAGGCCACAGCATGCTGCTTGCAGACAGGAGAGGACAAAGGGAACAGGAGAGGCTCTTCCCCCTGTCCTTTCCTTCTCTGCCCCCAGCTTGCTAAGTTGTAAGCCCTCCCGCATCCACTGGGGAGCAGGGCAGGACAAACGCACCGTCTTCTCCTTGTTCTCGAACACTTCCTTGACCTCCTCATAACTGCAGACCTCCTCGATGCACTCCCGCTCGATGGTGCCCTGCCGGATCTCCTCCAGGAAGCCGTTGGCAAAATGCAACACACAAGGCAGAGACATGATGAGCAGAGACAACCCCACACTTGGCCTCTGCCCAGCCAGGCTTTCCCACTTGGCTTTCCATAGGATTTTGGTGATACAGGCATCTCAAACAAAAAGCCCAGGGTGACAATTCATTGCGCACAGCAGAGTGCCCATTGAGGGACAGCACTCCCAGAGGGGCACAGGGCTCTTGGGGTCTGCCCGGAGACATACAGCACCAGGAACATCCTTCCAGCAGGGCTGAGATGCTAGAGACGTTGGAGGTGGCCACTGAAGACCACACAGGGCAGCTGAGGAAGAGACAGAAGGTTCCAAAAAGACTTGTTTTCAACCTCCCGCCCTTGACAGGATTTCACCTTGCTGCCCCTTTGCTGCAGGGCAAGGGAGATCCCACCGGGCAAGCAAGACCCCGCAGGGCTGGGACGCAGAGCCAGGCCTCTCTGCCAAGACACAAGGCCAGCACTGAGATGGACTCACAACACACAGGGCATTGTGCATCATTCCACAGTCCCCCCATACACCACCCCAGAGCTTCCTCTCTTGCTTCACACCTCCACAGTCTCCCAGGAGGAGCTGGTGTCCCTGCTGTCAGCTGTTGTGGGGTCACGCAAGCTCAGGTGGCTTCAGGGACTCTGTTCAGGTCCCAGAGAAACCACTGTGTCTTCTCCCAGGCCCAACAAGGGCAAACATCCCCAATGCATGGGGACAGCACAGGGGGTCATGAGTCAGATACTGAAAGGGGCCTGAGCAACCTTTCCTCACATGGCATCACGTTCTCATCCCTTCTGCACTTTGGTGCAGAGGCCTCACAAACCTTCTTCTGCTCCCAAAGCCTGGGAGACCCTATGTTGCCCACATCAGATCCTTCCTCAGAGCACGCAGTCTGGAAGCCGGACTGAGCAGGAGCAGCACTTCCCTGCCTGCAGGAGACACAGCCCTTTCAAATCCTCTCCCCCCACATTTTGCAGGAGGGACAACTCCAGGGGGTGCAGGGAGCAAATACCTACCAAGACCTGCAGAAGCACAGGAGAAGCAAACAAGTTGTTGCCCAGAAAGCAGAAACTCCACACAAACCATAACTCTTGCAAGATCCAAACATCCCATGCAGGCATTTCATGAGAATGTTTCTGTAACGCAGCTCAACACGCTCAGCTGTAGGCTGACCCCATCTCTTCCCACCCAGTCACGTAAATCGTGCTGCTCCCCTTGAGGAAGATGAATCGGTTCAGCTGGCTGATCCACAGAAACTGATTTACCTCCTTCATCCTCAGGCTCAGTCTTCCGTTGCATCAACCAGATGAACCAACTCACACAGCAGCAACATCAACAGATGCAGGACAAGGAGAGAAGGGGACAGGCGGGGTCTCCCATTAGACCAGCTTGGCATACTCCTTCAACAAGGAGCTTGGTGAAGATCAAACATAACAGTTAGTGAAAAGCTACCAACTTCTTTCATTAGGAGCCTTTTACCAGAGACCAGCAGGTTTCCTTCTGCTTTACCTTTCATGTATCCTGCTCCTAAAACAATACAGCAAGGTATTTGTGAGAGGATTTGTAAGCGTCAAGGCAGGGACGAGATCACGGTGTAAGCAACTACTACTGTGCTACACCATCCCATGCTTGCAGGAACTGTGCTCTTTTTGTGCTGTGTAGGTGCTTTTTCCCCCCGTGATTTATTAATGGTTTGCTTCAGTGAGAGAGTTTGCAGAGGGCTGAACCACTGAGGTGTGAATGAAGAGTAGCATGAATGATGTGAGTCAGAGACCTTCCCTCAGAATCCACTTTATTATGCAAATAATTATTTATTTTTTTTTTTTAAACAAGGATAACCGAAAAAGCATTTAAGAGGCACAGAAGGCATCTCGCAGGAGGGCGGGGATCAGCTTGCCTTGGCTTTCGCAGTTGAGGAGGGCTGTCCTGGCTGGAGAGGGAAAAGGCTGGCAGGCAGACCTTCTCTTGAGCCTTTCCAGAACGAGATGAAATTTTACAAAGACACCATCCATTCCGCACATGTCCCATCCTTTAGCGGAGAAGTCTGGCCTCACCTCCCCTCGCCTCCCGCCTTGATCAGGCTGTGGTATCAACTCTCCCCTCCTCAGCACTTGAGTCTGAGCCTCTTTCCAACTTCCTCAGCACACCTTGGAGCAACAAGTTTGGCCGCAGATCTCACTGTCAGGGTTTTCCATCCCTGCAGATACCAGTCACTTGAGCCCTTCCCTGCTTTGCCGTGCTGAACTGGCCACTACGGTGGGAAATAAAAACAGACACACAGGCAGGCAGGTATCATGAGCAATATCCCGACTGAAAGCACGCTGTGAGGGGGGTGTGTGCCCCCCCCCCTCCATCCAGTTTCCCTCAGGGACCTAGAAATGGCAGAAGAGCAGTAACTAAGTCACTGCTCCCTCCCCTCTTCTACTCTGAAAGCGCAAAGAGCTCCCACGTGCCTGGGGACCGGGGCTGGAAAACCAATGGCCTTCAGGAAACAAGAGCCTCGCCAACTCTCTCATCCAGCCCGGGTCCTCAACTGACACGAAGAGCAGACAGCTGAGGAGGTACTGTCCCCAAACCGCAAGGCTGTGGGGATGTCCTAAGGCCCAGCAGCCTCAGTACTGACCCCTTGTGCCTCTCCAAGTCTCCCCACACCAGCTGGAGAACCGGTGCTCAGGAAAGATCAGAGCTTTAGGCAGGGGGAGCAGGAGCAGGGCTGGGTTCCCCGCGCATCCCTGCTGGGTTTCCTGAGGTGCTGCTGGCCCCTGGTGGCAGGCAGGCTTGGCCACACCGCTACCCCACAGCTCTGCTGCCTGGCAGAATGACATTGTCTGCAGAACGACATGCGGCTGTCTCTGCGGAGGGACAGCCAGGGCTGCAGGCTGCCGGAGAGCACATGATGGTGAACATGCTGACCACCACATCCCCTCCTGCACGTCAGGGTCACCACGAAGGGGACTGCTCGGCGGGGGACATTGCCGCCACAGGGACACCTCCCACAACCAGTAAGCGCTGGTGAGCCAGCACCTGAGATCTGGGAGGAAGAAAAGGCAGCAGTGGAGGAAGGCAGGGACCCTCTTCATTAACAGAAGATTAAAACTGCCTTTTAAACACACTGCCTGAAGATCTCTGCTCCCTCCCCCACCTAACACAGCACAGATAAGGAAAGAAGGCATACCTGTCATCCCCGAGGTCCTCCTCCTGCCCAGCGTGCTTGCTGCCTCCACCTTCATAGCTGACTCCAGCGACAGCCCAAGCAAATCCCGAGATCCCAGCCAGATCTCTACATCTCCCCGTTCACAACTGCTGTCCTCCTTGAGCTCCCATCACATCGCTGCATGCAGCCTCCGCGCAGGCTGCCCAGAAGAGCGAGGAGGGAGGGTTGAGTCCAGCTCTTTACAGACCACACGCCATCCTCCACCCTGTACCCTTGCCAGTCTCAGCCCAGCTTTAGCCGCTGGCCCCAAGCAGCCCCATCTGCCAGACCCTCTTTCAGACGCCAAGACGCAGTGAGCTCCCAGCGGGACCCAGTTAGGCAGCTGCCCATCCACTGGGAACGCAGAGCCCCAGTGCCACCAGCCACACAAGGCAGCGTGGCCCCCAGGATGGGCAGCTTGTGGGATGCCGGTCATGGGCCATGAGGAGCACCGCAGCTAGGAGGTGTCAGTGCAGACCAGCAACCCCTGCAGAGGGGCCAGTCAGTCCAAAGCGCCTCAGGGAGGCCGGCCTTGCACAGCAAGCATCACGCAAATAAAGAAATGCTGCAGCGTACCAGGAGTCCCAGAGAGGTCAGCCCTTCAGCACCTCCTCTCAACTCCCACCTTCCACAGGGGAGAGAGAAGCACAAGTCAGCCGGACCTCAGACCTCATCCAGGGATAACGGTCAATGGCATCTGCTGCCCACAGAGAATAACACCCCCCAAAAAAAGCACAGGCACCCCTTCCTTGAGAGGTGGCTGCCAAACATCCCCCTTCTCCAGCACCACCACCACCTCTCCATCTTGATTGGGGAACACTTACTTGCCATGCTGCCTCGCTCAGCTACGGGGGGCTCCTGCCTACCTGCAGGGAAAAAAACAGGAGAGTCACCGACAGCTTAAATTTCACCCCCTGAAGCCCAAGAACTCCATCGCCCAGGGTCAGATTCATGCAGAAAGCAGCGTGCTGTCTGGTGGACCCAGACAGTTCCCAGCCAAGCAGTGCCTCTTCAGAGCCAAGGACTCCCGCTGCCTCCCCACTCATCGCATGGTGGGAGGGACTGGAGGGGCTCAGGGCACCCTCAGCTCTCGGAGACCCTGGGGCCGGTCTCTGCTGCACTTGTGCTGCACCAACCCAAGGAGGGCCAGGGCTCTGCCCAAGAAGCCCAGAGAGCTGCAGACAAGCAAAGCAGGAAGAACTGGATGGAGAGTCCCCATATCTCATCAGCAGAGGAGATGACCTGCGTGTCAGAAGCTGCTGGGAGCAGCCTGGTTCTTTTCCTTTCCAGAAGAGATTGATGGATACAGGTAAAGCAGTCATCCTGTTTTAAATCAATTTCACAGCCGTGCCAGTTCTCACTTCTGCAACTCCTACCCACAATCTGCAATAAACAGGGCCACACTGTTTTCTCCGCTGCCCTAAAAGCGACTATACGGCAGGAAAGTAAAGGACAAGCATCTCCTAAAGGTTGCTGGGCCAAGCTAAGGGCAGCAGCAAGAGTGACAGAGGACACCCAGGACAACAGCTCTCCAGCTAGATAAGCACCTTTTGTGCTTCAAAAGCAAAATGAAACTAAACGAAATACCACAAAATTAAAAAAAAAAAAAAATCCTGCAGAAGTAGAGTATATCCCTCTCTGTTCACAGGAAGAGTTTCACTCACTTGTTTTTCGTGCTATGTCTTCTCCCTGTGCTCGATGCCCCACCGATCAGATTATCCTGGGCAAAATCATCTCCTCTCGCCTTGTGTGACACCTTGCTGTAGCAAAGCCACAACTCTGCCCCGAGACAGAGGGGACAGGACTAACCAGTTCCTACAGGGATTTATTTGGGATGAAGGAGCAGATGCAGTTAGAAACAGAAGGAACAAAAACACATGCTGATTTTATGTGCAGGACTTCAGATATTCAAAGTTATCCCAAAAGCGCTTGAATCCACTCAGCTGGAGGAAGGTCAGGGACAGCACAGGGCCGTGCAGAGGGTCAGTGGGGCTAGAAACGCATTTCTCATTTCGCATAAAAGGCAGGAATCCGGACACACAGAAGGGCTGATGCACACCACCACCGCAGGCACGACCACACCTCACAACAGTAAATCTAAGCACTTCTCTCTGCCAACATCAGGTCTCCTGCGGTTTCTGAGGTTTCTGCACCAAAAGTGGCAAGAAGCCAAGCAAGCCCGGAGCTGTCTCCAGAGGCAGAAAGCAGCTTCTTTCCAACAGTTTGTGAAACTCAGATTGCAAACCTCAATCTGGAGTTTATGCAGGAGTGAGGGAAAGCAGCAGAGCACCAGAATTACACAGGAATCATAGAATCATCATAGAATGGTTTAGGTTGGAAGGGATCTTAAAGATCACCGAGTTCTAACCCCCCTGACATGGGCAGGGTCACCTCCCACTAGACCAGGTCCACCGCCTTCTGCGCCCCACAGCCCACACCAGGAGGCCTTTTCTCAAGAAACTGCGCACCCAACTCCGCTTCTTTGTGCTTTTCTGGGGGATGCGAGAGCAGCCGAGAGGCCTCCGGATCCATGCGTTCCCCCACAGGCTGCCTCAGCTCCGAGCAGGGACTACCTGACCTGCTTTTGTTGTCATCAGTTTTTATGAAGAGCCCCAAACCCACAGGATAAAAGAATGCACGGCATGGAAAACATGCCACAGTTTCCACACAAAACCCCTGTATTGCTCATTGTTAATGGCATTCTCCTCCTTTAATAGACAGGAGAACAGAGATGCAGAAATAAGGATATTCAAGACCAGATTTGTCAGGAACCCCAGCTCCATAACCCGAGTCATACATCAGGCAACACACTTAATGCATCAGAAAGATTTTATCTTTAACTTTTTTCCAAGTACCTGTGCCAACGCACCCAGTGTCTGAGCTCAGAAATGGTTTATTCCAGTGCAACAATAAGCCAGGTCTATACAAGCCTACAAGCAGGAGTGAAGCCTGCGAGAAGGACAGGCATCCCAGACGCTTATTTTTATTTCCACGCACAAATTCCTAACCACCTCCCCCGGCTCCCATGAGCAGGAAAAGCTGGACCACCACACACGCTGACGCCAAGGGGAGCAGCATCCCTCCTGCCTCCGCGCAGCCACGCAAGCTGAGAGGAGCCTGAAGCTGGAGGCTGATCTAGCAGACGCCCACCCAGTCCCGGTCCCCCCCCTCCGACGCGTTTGCCTCCTCTATAAATACCTCATCGATAGGAGGTTGCTAAGGCAACCGTGAGGAGGCGCGAGGGATGCAGCCGTGAGAGTGAGGATGCTGCAGTCGCACATTTGTGTCTCCCCCGGGCTCCCCCCATCTCCGCCCCCGCTCCCGTCACTGATGCCAAAGGAGGAAATCGTGCTGGTAAAATATGGTGTGCGCTCGGTGCCGGTCGCCCGCAGACCTTGAGCAGGCGTGGGGGGCACAGTGGGAGGCAGCACCTCCTTGCCAGGCTGGGGGGCACAGGTGCAGGTCAGGGGGATCCACAGACACCAGTGACGTGCCACAGCACGCAGGGAGGCTGCCAGCTCTGCTGGCATCACGTAGCCCCGGCTGCCAGCCGCTCAGCAGGATCCTAGCAATATTTGGGGTTTTCCATGCCAAGATCCACAGCGAGGGGAAGAGGCTGCACCGGCTTGACTCGCCAGGGACCACGGGGTCCCCATGGGGTGCCAGGATGTCTTGCCCTCCCAAAACAGCCTTTGGATCCCATCCGACCCCACGTGGCCCCTCTCCGGCCTCTGCCCCG